CAGTTTTTGTTTCGATGTGTCAGGTTTCGTGGAACTGTGAAAAGATTTCCACTATGCAAGCACAGAACATACTGAGCAATATAAAGACCAGGATACGTAACACCAAAATCGAAATAATCGCCCTTATCAGGGTACTTGTGTACTTGTGAATTTTATACTTGTTAGATTATAATATGATTTTAGTCTACACACGTCTCACAATGAATTGTGTAACGTAAAAAAAATAATCGTCAAAGCAGCTGTTTTGTTACTATAATTCAGTGAAGCGTCGCGGGCCGGATTATGTTACTCCGCGGGCCTAATCCGACCCGCGGGCCGTAGGTTTCCGACCCCTGCCGTATCTGCTCAAATAACACCTAAAAAAATGTGCTGTGAAATTTTAATGTAGAAAGATCGAAATTACACCCGTATTGCAGTACTATCTTGAAACGTCGCCATCAAAAAGGTGGACGACATGTCTGTCCTCTCGTGAGTCGAGTTGTTCGCCTCACGTTTGTCCCATAAGTTTAGTGCAGAGTGGTGCAAGGTTGTCGGCCTCGCGGGTCACACTATTATTTTTGTATTGTTCGCGGGCCACAATAGTGCCAGGAATAGGTAAACAGTGCCATACAAACAAACACTTTTATTGTCCCAACACCTTGATTATTTTTGTCATATAACGAGTTAAAAAATGCAAAACCCACTAATACGTGCAAAAATCTTACTATATCTACATTTAGTGTAAGATTTTAAACTCTTCATAACCGAGAAACTGCCTTAAAAAGGAAAAGCCGTTTTAGATTGTCACCGACACAACTTGCAGACATATTAAACAAGCATTGTGGTATTTTCCCTCCCTTATTCAGTCAAAAATCTGTTTGAATTAGTCAGCTTTCTTTTTAAACTGTTACAAAATAATTTAGTAAGTACTAAATTTTTTAACATATAGACAGCATTTTTTGTAATAATGTTTAGACTGGTTGCAAAAAAACACCCGACAGGGATTATTATATTGTTCGGCCATTACATTAATATTTAGTTATCAGGCATAGCCAACCTAGGCCAATAGATCTTTCATTCGATATTTCGTTTTCTATGAAGCTTACTTTGTTAGCAAAAAAAAAATAGAGACCCAGTTAAAAATTTAGACTTGCCAAGCACATTATTCAACTTCATTAGGTGTATCAGCTAGTCATAACACTAGTCAATTCAGTGACATTAGTGATGTAATAGTATGTCAAAAGATTTTTATGGGTATTTTTTTGACGAAACAACACCAAATGCAATTTTTTTCGCAAATGCGGGCCACAGACAATGAAGCAGCGGGCCACATGTGTCCCGCGGGCCTGGGTTGGACCACCCTGGTTTAGTGTATCACGTTCGCGCAAGAAGGACCTTTATTTAAGAAAAAATTGAAAATTTGAGTTGTATTTTCACAACACATTTTTGTTTGGCGTTATAGCACTAACGGCATTCATGTTCACATCACATTTGTGTTTGCGGGTATTTAAAGCAGTTACGGCGTTTGCTTCACGAGACCCGCAGGCGATATTCATGATCAATCAATTGAGCAACACAAGGCAAGGAATTTAGGATACAACTGGATAAAGCTCCTGATAGCAGCCCGGATGCACATTTGATATGTTATGCACGTTTTGCAAACTTTAATGACAATTGCTGTTTTACGGACAAATTGAATTGGGATGTGGGGAAATCGGTATGTTAGTCGTTGGGGGAAATCGACCTTTCACAATAATCGAAAATTTTATTACAGCTAACAATCTTAGTTGAAAAACTTGCATCAGCATATGCACAGATGGTGCTAAAATTATGTCTGGTTTACAAAGTCTAATACAAGAGCATGCGCCAATGACAAACTGGACATCCTGCATTATACACCGCGTGGCGTCGGTTGTCAAAGAACTGAGTTCTGTACTCTTCAGCACGGTTGATGTCGTTACCAAAATCGTTAACTTCATCGTCCACTAAATCAAGAAGCTTTGAGAAATTGTGCACGGACATAAATGCAGAACATCAAAGTTTATTGTTCTACTCTACATCGAGGAGACTTTGTTGGGTAAATCGTTTGTACAAACTCCCGAGCATTTTTACTGCAGGAATAAAATTTACTTGTCGACTACCTCGCACGAAACGAATTTGTACTGAAATCGTGTGATATCTTTGCAAAACTTATTAAGTTGAACCTATCTTTGCAAGGAAAGGACAAAAACGTACTTCAAGTATATTATAAAATTTGTAAATTACAGCGTTTGGTAAAAGGTTAGCCTTGTGGAAAAAGGCTATGACCAATATGTTTAACCGCTCTGAATATTTCCCTTTTGTTTTCAGCCTCTCTTAAAGAGAAGAATATGCTATTGCCTATATCAGGGTCATCCAACCCGTGACCCGCGGAAGCATTTCACAGGGCCCGCGCTATTTTTCGGAATTAAATAAAAAATAATTGAGTAAAAGTATTTTTCGAGTGATGTAGTTTACAAAGATGTTGTACAAACGATTTGTTTATTTTCCTGAAATGCGCTCTGCCGGTCCTTTCAAACGAGCCATGAGTGCCATTTTGAATTGAAACCAACTTAGAGATATGTATACATAAAGGTGCCATAGCCGCTTAAACACTTGGTCTCGTACTACTTTCGATGAGAATTCGTTGTTCGAGTTGCCAATGTTTTAATAAAAGAGGTGTTTTCAAAAATAATCCTGTCAAGACAGACCATTCGCGTCGTGTTAAGAGTTTGGGAATTATATGGCGGAAACTTTAATTACAAAAGCGGGAAAGTTTTCATCGTATTCCTTGGCGCTTGACGAAAGCACTATAGACTAGAGATGTACCGATGTATCGGTATCGGCAATATCGGCCATTTTTTCGGTATCGGCCATGTATCGGTATCGGTTAGATTAAGGCCGATATTTCCGATATATTTACCTTTTTGATATGGTCCAGAATGTTTTAAAAGATAAGTTGGAATACTACTTTTTAATTTATTTTTTGTCTGGAGAGATCGTGAGCTATGAGCCATACATGTCCCTATCCCCGCGAGAGAATATGATTCACGTATTTTTAGCTATTTTCGCTGTCAAATTTTTATATTGACATTTTTAATATTGCATAGTAATTATGAAGAAATATATCAACACGGCACATAACAAAAAGCAATTAGGCGCCCAGTTTTAAATCATACAGTGGAATTGGGGTCCTTATTAACGGCACATGGACTTTTGGCACGGGTATAAATTCTGACTGTTTGTCGTCAAGTACGAGTGTCATTTAGTCCGACGACATCGATAAACTAAATTCCGACACAATTATCCCTCTACGCAGATATTAATTTTGTTTAACAACACAAATTCTTTATAGATATATTGACATGACCGCCTAGCCCTAGAGGGCCTAGAGTCCTAGACTGTCTCAAAATATATGATAGCAATTGTATAATAATATAAAATAGTAAAGTAAAAAAACATCCTCGACGGTTATAGGTAGGCCTTCTTTTGGTCGGTGCTGATTGATATTCTTTCATGTTGGCTTTGACTTATTGCGTCGACGATTACGATTAGCCACGAAATAAAATATTTGAAAAATGCTTTTAATTTGAACCTAGGACGGCGACTCTAGAATGTGTGGGTGATATTCGATATTCTCTTAAACACGAATAACGATATTCGAAGGTCGCGATATTAACATTAAATTCAAATTGGACATCCCGGCTTAGGAGTTTTCTAATTGAACACCGAGATTACTAGCGTTACTGTACAGTGTATCTTAATCAGTTGAAGCAAACACCAAACACTAATTTCATATTATGTGATGTATCATTTTTCGATCTGAAATAATGTGTACTATGAACAACGCTCAAAGACCATTGTTTTAACCCGTCTGCCCTACACAGCACACCTAATTAAGTAATATTTACATAGTATCGGTATCGGAATATCGGCCTTTTTGTAGTATCGGCGTATCGGTATCGGCTTTTTTTAGCTGGTATAGGATCGGTATCGGCGACAAAAGTGGTATCGGTACATCTCTAGTTGAAACCATTTATTTATATTGATTATTTCAACCACATCCTATCACCAAATATTTCATCATATGTTAATACTTTTCTTACCTCATGAAGTCGTTTGCTTGAATTCCTTGTCCTGATAAACGCCGTGTCTTAATGTGTCTCATAAGGTTGTATATTGTGAAGTTTATAGAGCAGTTTCTAACAAAAGAGCTGTGTGTGCATCTCTTTGTGATACGTAAGTCCGCCAAACGTCGATAACAAAAATTGTGAGGTATAAAAAAAATTAACTGGTCACAAGGCAAACACCTTACGTTCAATTGGTTGTTCAATGCTATTTATTATAATACACTATGAATCTCCATTTGGTCACATCAATATCTTGAACTTGAATATTCTTGGTATTTCATATTCACAGGACAATTTATTTAAGCTTGTGCATTCGTCAATCGGGTAGGTATGAGATTAGCATTATTTATGCATGGGGTTCTAAACCACCAATCCCTAAAGATAGTTAAAATAGGTTTTGCTATAGTTCTACCAGAGTAATTCAGATGAATATTAAACTCGTGTATACAATATATCGTTTAATCAAACTACCATACACATGCCAATATCGTGGTTCTCTGTGTTGGCAATGCTACCGCTAGATTACAATACAAACAATATTGCACAACTTTCCGATTTCTATACACTTTGGTTTCTTATATTAGATAATTCTTTCTAGTCTTATCTATTAACTAGAAGATGAATATTCGACATGGTACCATAACTAATGGATTATTGGTCAAATTAAATTCATATAATTCTAATTTATATAGCAAGTTATGACGATGTACAACTGTTTTAACTTGCATCCAATAAATGTGACTCTATGGGAAGCATGCGGTGCAATATCAGAATGATATTTAGTTTTCTTAGGGATTAGCAGAATATGTCAGAAATCCTCAAGTGCGTCGTACAATTTAAGCATTCGATTCAGCGACGCGACTGGACTGCTCGAAGTTTGAGTATTTGTATTTTTTATTGCAGCATAATTCAGACAACCAAGAGTTCACAATTAAGTGACAAACTATCCTTCATAATTTAACTCAAGGTAAAAGAAAATATCACAGTGTTGTCCTTGGTTGTCTTGATAACCCCTTTCTCATTTTTGCAATTTTGAGTTGATGGAACATTGCAGTCAAATCATGTTCCTAAATTGTAAGCTGGTTTTGACAAGCGTCTCAGGTCTGTGTCACAGTCAATTCCGATTTGTATTTATATCATGTTGTAGATCAAACATGGCATGTTGACGGAAGTGGCTGACAGCTTTTTCGCAAATTTATGTGTAGCGCATGAATACAGTGCTCGCTTGGTTGATGGAGAAGCTTGTTTTTCAGATACGTCAAGAATTAGTACAGACGCAGTTCCATAGAAACCCAAGTACATGTGTTTGAAACAGAATTCCTGATGACATCGCACAATCGTCCTATAAATATAAAGTTATGAAGCACTTTTCAACTATAAAGACATTCTTTATGCGTAACTGAATGTAGCTTTTCTTCGTGGGTGTAATCTTCAGCACTTCTCGTCTGTATTTCTAAAAATCATGATTGCAGAGATATCTTACGTTAACCAAATGTCTAATATTCAGCTACCTATATCGCAAAACTCCGTGCTATAGCCTGAACATGCAACAAATATATATAGATACAATTGCCAAAACTCAATGTTTGCCATTATACCGCTTTGAAGTGTTGGCATTTGATTCGCTATATGCATGAACATGCCCGAATATAGTTGCGAGATGTAATGGTAAAAATATTCAATTGTTTTAATTCGAATTCCACCACTAACAACAGTAGCTTGTTTTCACAAACTCATATAACGATAATTATTGCCACTTGGCAAAATGCGTTAATTCAGACTCATCTCAAACATGTACCTAACACAAATAAAATGATGTATAATAACCTACTCACATTTATCCATATTCAGCCATTTAAAAGTCTCAAGCATAGACAGTGATATTGCAGGATGATAACTAGATGCTGACAATATGTTGTTCACGGGTTCATCCTCGCAGCAGAGATGTCAACAAATGTAAGTGCTATGTTGTTTACATTTTCTATCGCCCAATCAATACCGATAAGCCAGATTTTAATGACTAATTTAATCCTAATTACTTCGTTTTGCTTTGTTTATTTTGTTATTAACCAGCACAAACTCCAAGGCAGATAAGCAATATTATAGATGTGATCTGCAAATGGACCAAAGTCAAATATGCTCGTCGATATTAAGACTATTTCATGTATATAATATAATATCAGGAATACAATGCAATGCTGTTCACAATATTTACAGTCACATACATAAAAGTATGTTTTGTATGTATATTTTGTTATTAACCAGCACAAACTCCAAGGCAGATAAGCAATATTATAGATGTGATCTGCAAATGGACCAAAGTCATTTATGCTCGTCGATAGAATTCGCAACAAAAAGACTAATCTTTTTAATACCAGGCAATATTCGGATTTTCGACAAAAGTGTTGGAATTCGCCCAGGTAATATACTCAATTGCAAATTGAAACGATATCATGCGCGCAAAAACTAAAACAAAAAAGTATCACAATTTTTTTAGGAGCTAAGCGACAGATAATAAAAGCTGGCCTAATTCTATTTCTGATACTCGAAATCGCCAAAATTTCGCGTAAAATTTATTTTCCAACGGCAGCGATACCATAGCACTGAAAATGAAAAACGTTAAATTTGCACAATGCGCTGTATTGTACATTGTCGGTTTCATGCGACTCCAATCAAATTATTTTCATGATCGAATTTATTACGGATTATGATGAAATGAAATATATTCGTTGCAATATCTGTTCAATCACTCTTTTATTTCATCGAAATCGTAATAATCACTATTGTACCTGGGATAAAGGCGTTTATATTTTTGACTGCTGTTTTCGTTTTTACAATGCAGCACGTTTCTATCTACACGTTTCCCGTTATACCTATACATGCGAAAGTTGTCATGTCCGCCTTGCGGAAATAGAGGGTATTGTGTTAAGGAATCTGTGGATGCCTTACATTGAATGCGCTTCACATTTCGCGAATTAAAATATGTATATATATATGTGTGTAGATTCTCAACACTGGACAGATTCAACAAATGGCCGCGGCAATGGATTATAACATGAAAAGACAGATTGTAAAATGAAAAGACTTATTGCTGGTCGGACCATCAATACACCGTCTGTAAATCATAATATTGTCAATATTTAATATAAACGTCGGTGACGAAGCTTTTTCACACAACGAGATGTTTTCTACTCTGTAAACGGCGTAATATTTGGTAACCAGGCGCTACGCCGGAAGAAAAATTCTCTCGGACCAACATCAAAACACTGCGATGACCAACATCAGCTCAAGGACTGACGGGTAAAAACCAATGGTCTAAAATAAATGCATGCTCTTCTTACCCTAACGTTTGTAAGATCTTTCAAACTCGATTTTGTGTGTCATGACTTAAAAGTGATAACGTTACTTACTTCAGGTATGCTAAGTTCCTTATTCAAATTCATAATTGTAACGGATTCGATAGTAACTTCCTATGAGTGCTAATTATCTAATTTTTAATCTTCAAAGCAAGAAATTATATAAAAAATCAAAAAATGTTTTGGTATTCTATTTTATAGCTTTTTAATTTGATAGCCCTTTATACTACCATTGATCATTTCGAAAACATCAGCATTACAATTAAAATAGGGCAAATCAAATATTATCATTTACCTGCTGCATGTTAAATCGCATCTTCTTTGCTTCAAGATAGGTTGATGATAGTACTAAATCATATACGAAATCCTCTGTCGCATTGCACTTTCGTTATATCAAGTGTAATTGTTGTACACTCCTTCAAAACAATTGAAATGTAAACAAAAACATCTTGATTAATTTCTCGTTAATTAGTGAACACTTTATATACACTTTATTTCGACTATGACGCAGTTTATGTTTTGATGTGAATTGTGCTGCTTGATTATTATTATTTGTTTCAGATTCTATGGCTGTTGCTTGAAAATATTTTGTAATATTAGTTATACGGTGTTTTGATTGTTTCTAGCTAAACATGTAGTAAACATGCAAATGGCATATAGTCATACAGAAAATAGCCAAAAACAACGTCGAATAGATTATTCAGGTTTGTTTCACGCCATGGTTTATTGCTTTGAAATATTATGTGATGACTGAGATGGAAGGCAGACCAAGTTACGTTAGTGACAAGAATGGCGTTGCAAGCTTCCTTGCAATGAAGAGACTAGCAGGTAAAAATATTAGCTATTTGGATTCTGGCTACAACCATAACGTGCAAAATCAAGAATGATTTAAACATTTGATTGACATTTGTAATTTCATGATATAATAATGATCTTGTACTCGAGCTAACTATTCTATTTAATATACGTTTTTCATGACTGTGTTATTTTTATCACTTGATAATATTTTTGTTGGAAAAAATTTAGAAGGGAAGTTATTCAATGGTATACTTGATTTGATCAAAATTCAATAATATAGAATAAATTAATGTTTGTCATATAATTTTAAAGATATATTTTTCAAAATATAAAAATTTTGAAAATATTTTCATTTCATTTTTTAATTTTGTCAACGTCGGGATAAATACTATTTTATACACTTTTATTTGTATGTTTTTTTTTAGGTAATCTATGTGTGCCCATTGAATATGTGTTGCACTTGACCACCTGCTTGTTCATTTTCCCTACATCGAATTCATTCTAATTACAAACATAACATTTCAAATGGTAAAGCAAACAAGGATGGGATTTTTAGTCGATGAATCATATATGGGCAGTTATGGAAAAACAAGACTGCAAGTGATTGGAGCGATAAAATTCCGGTTTTCAATTTGTTTTGGCAATGCTCTGATGAAACTTGAGAATGTTTTTATCGCAACGAGTTTGAACTGGTTTTACTGAACTTTAATTTGTTCTTTACATATTCACGTGCAAATTGTCTTGTCATCTAAAAAACTTTGGAGTGCTATTTCGATACGGTTCGTACTTTGAAATATGCATTAAAAAAAGTTTCTTATTTCCATTTGAATTTCGATTAATTTTGGAATGATGTTTATTTAGCTTACTCTACGAATCATTTTCCTACACATTTAAGGATGCCAAGATTTTTTGAGTAGGCCTACTAAATTGTTGAAATAAATTTTCTAATTCCAATCGATATTTCATACATTACCGCTTTCTCCTGAATGTTATGGAATATGCATTGAGTATTTAATGCTCTGAGTGTTCTTTTAATGGTTTCAGTGCAAATGTAACAGAGAACTTGATTCGGGTTTTCGAATGACGTGACATCAGTAACACGTCTCTATGAAATATTAAAAAGACACAATCTTGATAAATATATTAATCCTGAGTGATTCCTGACACAGTTCTAATTCTGAAGTCAAAGAAATTACTAGATGAATCATCTAAAATTTAAATTTTGTCTTGTTGGACTAACCATCTTCATATATTTTAGTTGAAATGTGTGTATCAATAACGCCATTATAGCTCGAAACGCGTCAATAAAAGCTGAATCTCTTCACCGTGCTTGCCGATATTTTCCCCGTGACACTTGTACAAATCAAGAATACCTGGCCAGTGGCGGCGCGTCAATAGGGCCAACCGGGGCAATGCCCCGGTTGTTTTTTCGGTATAATAAAAAATATTCGAAAAATACCTCAATATCGGTTGCACAGACTGTCTACACTAGCCGTATTCTCCCGACATGGTTCATTTTTCGCTCGCAAAGCCTTCGCCGAACGTCGACGGGGCGACGCCGATTTTGCCCCGGTTGCTCATTGTATATCGTATTCTCTCTTTTATCTTCCACTCACCGCGTTTTTTTTCTGTTTCTTTTACTAAATCATCGGGGCTAGCCCCGAAATTATGACGACACAATGCCGGCGTTTCTTACAACAACGTGTTGACATATTCACGCATTCCTTCTCGTTCGTTGGTTGCTTGAAGAGTTGATAGTTTCCTCGCCTTCGTTTTTGTCGCTTGTTTCGCTATTTGAATCAGTTAGAGACCTTTAGTCCATTTGCTTTCGATTTTCCACATTCCTTTTGAGCTCCTCACTTCTTTCCGGCTTCGCATTTATTAGCCTTAGACCTCATAATGAATAAGGTTGATGCACTACTTCGCACTCCGTTTTTGCAGCTGCCGCTGGAACAAAAATTAGAGGTACAACGTCTTGGGCCTTATCAACCAAAAAATTGTTCACTGGAACAATCCCATGACGGAGGAAAGCGTCGGCGTACATTCTGCGCAGAAACTTGGTATAAAAAACACGAATAGTTGTGTTACAGCGAGGACAAAAATGCACTTTTTTGTTTTTATTGCCTACTTTTTGCTACCGCCCGTGACTCACGTTGGTGTAAATTTGGTTTTAGAGATCTTAAACATCTTTCCGAGCGTGCCAGGGATCATCAATCTTCTATGGAGCATCTGGACAATGCAGTAAAATACCGAACATTCGGAAATGTTAATATTGCAGCACAGTTGGATGAAGGACGCGCGGTTTCTATTCGTCGGCACAACCAAAACGTCGAGAAAAACCGCCATGTTCTTGGTCGATTGATAGATGTTTTGAAGTTCATTGGTTGTCACGAGCTGTCCCTCCGTGGGCACGATGAACGGGCTGGCTCTTCTAATAGAGGGGTATTTTTGGATATGGTGGAATACACCGCATCGCTAGATACAGTATTGAGAGATCATCTTGATGCCGCAACTGTTTCGAAAGGGACATCTAAGGATATCCAAAATGATTTGCTCGACTCAATGTATAAAATTTATTTACAACATTTGGCTCTGGAAATTGAGAATTGCCAGTTCCTTTCGATTCAGTCTGACGAGACAACTGACATCACGTGCGTTTCCCAACTGGCTGTGATTTTTCGGTTTGTGAAAGATGGTAAACATACCGAGAGATTTCACAGCTTTGTACCAATCGTTGATCGCACGGCTTGCGGGATATCGGCTGTACTGAAAGAAGTGTTACAGCCTTACAACGCGAAGTCAAAATTGATAGCTCAAACTTATGACGGCGCGGCCGTCATGAGTGGAACATGGTGTTCAAGTTTATAAAAGAA